TATTATATATATATATATATATATATATACAGTATATATATATATACTATATATAATATATATATATATACTATATATACTATATATACTATATATACTATATATATAATATACTATATATACTATATATAATATATACAACATGTAGTAGACATTATAATTTTGAATATAGATTTGTTGCGGATGAGAATCTTACGACGAATTTATACCTTAGTATTACAAATTAATCATCGTTAAAATGAAAGTTATTTGTTATCTAATAATGCGGCACGTGTCGTCGGCGCTGAACGCAGATTTCGTACATTCCCATCGTACAATACAGGCTACATCGCTTTTTCTCTTTGTCGCAGTTTCTTTCGGAAGTTCTTTCAGAATTACTTTCAAAAGTAATAGATACATGATTAACACACATGACCGTCAAGACATCTCCATTGCGTTGGAAAGACCTTTTCTCTCCGGCGCAATTCCGGTCTGTCTGCGCTCAAAAATCTCATTCTTAACTCACTTAATCACCTCTTTTGTTTTAGTGTGCTGTATTTATTTACTCACTATTATAACTGACATTCGCATTATCGTCATCCCGCATTTCCTTCCTAGTCATTCCTTATGTGCAGTGCCTCGGTATATAACGACACCAGCGATCGATTTTAATTAGGAAGTCAACAAAAGACGATTGACTTCTCACTTACAAATTATAAAAAAAGCTGTTGCGATCAGCAAGAATCGAACGGTATGCGTTCTGCGAATTGCATTACAGCCGCGGGACGAAGCATCGCTCTGCTTCATGCCCCTTACTTCTCCCTTCTGTACGTTATTTTTTTGTCTTATGTGTCAATTAATGCTACACGTTGCTCGTCGCATATGCATCTCTTGTTCTTTTTTTTTCCTCACGCGCATATTTTGCCGTATTACACTGAATCCGCACGCTTCTTACACCCCTATCAAGATTGCGCTTACGACAACAACATGACTCTGATAAATCGAAACACATCGTCGTCCCACTGCCGGTGATTGTACATAACGTATAACGTATTGCCGCGCTACAGAACCAAATGCGTGATCTCACTAGCTATCGTTAACGTGAAAAATATGCAATCAAGCATTAATTGACAATTAATTGTACAATCGATCGATCCCGGGGGTGGTGTCGACGAGATGTCGTCGAGTGATGTTGCACTCGAAAGCGAGGATGGCGCGTACAAAGTCGATCTCGACGAAGCGAAGAGAACGAATAAACACAAACGGAATCAACAATCTGATTCTGAACTGAATTTGCTTTAGCGTGTGGACGAGTTGTATATACACACGCGCGCGCGCGCGCAAGCGCACACACGTACAAAGTAGTAGATTTTAAAATTTACGTCAACATAATTTCCATCACTTCTACGTGCAGTTAGAAGTGGAAGCGATCGTTCGATCTTCGCTCGGAACCTCTCTTCGATTCTGGTTTCACTTTTGCAGCAGTGTGGGTTTGAATACAGGCTCTCAAAATACAACAGCACAAAATATACATTCGTGTAGTAATAATAAGTGTGTGACTAATAATAACGATAAGATGATTATTCTACGGGCACTAATGCTTAAGAGTCTAAAACCGTTGAACGGACGCAGTCGAAGGCTCTCGCACGTGATGTACAATATAATACTGAATCGCTCGGGACAGTCGCGCGAGTAGTGCGATGGGAACTGAGTTTATAACGAGTACTTCGGAAAAACGATCAAAGCGTCGGCGGCGATTCGGCGTAATATGGCATTATAATCCTGATCTATCGTTAAATTCCTAATAATAATAATAATCCTAATAGATCTCTACAATTATAAAATTCAATGTTTGCAAGCCAATCATCTATTAATGCTACACAACTCATTTCGAAGCACGAAATTTTCGTCGTAAATAGGCAAGCAACTATATGTAAGCAACTCACGTTTTCATAAGGAAAACATACTTAATGCAACCAACTAACATATTAAATGTAAATATTACGAGTACGCTTCCCGACGTAGTACAAAATTGCAATGTGGATGGATTGTCGAAATGATCCATCTTGTTGGACTGTTTCAACGATCTTATCGAAACACTTCGCAAATCTTGTCCTTTGGTTAAAAGACAAATTTTTACATAGGGAAGTTTACTGTATTGTCGTAACGCAAGATGTATTTATTCACTTACGTGTTGTTCAAATTACTAAAAATAAAAACTTAAGCTAAAAACAAAGAATATAAAAAAGACTACTTATTCGGATACATGTGATATTGTTGCCAACTCAATGTAATCGTACATACATATATATCTATATATATATAGTCGAAAAGTTAACAAAAATCAAACGGCAAAAACATCCACCACAATCGCATTGATCACACGACAGATCTCTGCATATTACATGTGTATATATACGTGTGTGTTTTTTTCTTTCCTTTCTTTTCTTTTTTTTTTAATTGCATTGCCTATTTAATCAATTAGATATTCGGTAACTGTAAAAAAGACTTACAAATAAATGATACGAGGTTCTTCAATCGATTCTAATCGATAAAGTTATGATTCTATCTACAAATAATAATACCATCGTAAAAACGGAGAGACCAAAGCGATACACGGTGTAATTAAATATAATATAAACTGCCTCAAAATGGCTACCTATTTACTGCTATCATAAGTGGCTATTATGATAATAGTTAAGTATCGTTCACACTTCTTTGATTGTGGTTTAGTTACATACTTTAAGACATTATGATACATGTGAGTATGACACGGATTTTTCCACTAAAAATATCTGTTAGATACGCTGAGCATTACTGACTTAAGCACTGTACTAAATTCACATAAAATTGTATTATTATTATTAGAAAACTAATTATTTTTCATTGGTTTGAAATACTGGTTTAATAGATCCGTATAAAACCTTTGTCAACTGGTACTCTTAGAATAATGATTTACACGATACTCGATTCCTTGCGAGGAAAGAATGCTATGTACGAGTAAGTCATTACAATTCAACTGTCATTGGACATTACAACAGGCAACAATTGCAAGTCATGTTTTTTAGTTCGCATTAACATCCATAATTATACGACTCGTATTTCTCTCCTTTTATTTTTGCTTTACGATATAGCCCGATATCGTGAAATATACAGAGACAATCGAGCTCGTTAAATACATAATGATACCATATAAAGAAATGATAAATGAGAATAAATACGATTATGTAAGATCTGTGACATATGTTTCGATTAAACGTTCAACTTCAGCTTCTTGAGAATGTGTTCATCAGTCGGATGGCAGCAGTCTTACTGCAGCAATTAATAAAAGCTCTAACAAGCCTTCTAAGTTAGATTAGTTTTTTTTTTCTCCTTTACATGTATCTTGTATATTGTCTAATATAAATAAATTAATGATCCAGTATGAGGCCAGAGAAAGGCAGTTACATACTCTAAGTGATAGATAAACTTTACTTTATCTTCTATGAATTATTGTTCATATCCACTTTTGTTTTGTATCTGGCACTCTTTCCTATTTTAGGCTGCTTCTCAGTTTAACTGTAATTTATTCTGCTGGATTATTGCGTTGCATGGAAAAATATGGCTTTATCCAAAATGCTATTTAACAAAGGCAATACATCGTACAATTACATTGTATGCGCGCCACAGTTGTCACAATTAAACTTCTTTGAAAAGGCAGAACCAGTGTCCGTAAAAACAACGAGGGTGTTTCCGCCGATTTTTACAGACATCAGGTAATTCTTATCGTCAATTACAAATGCTGTTATTTGTACACTATGCATGTAAAAAGCATTACACTACATACGTCATGATCATTTTTATCTCTTGTGATGTTCAACAAAGCTAAATGGTAAACTTCGAATAAATACCGGTTCCTCTTACTGTATAAGTTATCAAGGTATATATAGAATAAAGGCAGAAAGAAGAAACCTTCCTCGACAAAGTGCCTACAAAAATATCTGTATAATAGATTGAGGATTGCTGTGTCTGCGACTTTAAGTCTGGTTATATTAGCCACGTGTTACCAGTCTTAAACATAGTGACTAATCGATCATCATGGACAAGTCCCTCTTTCTACAATTGTATACATTTTTTGATCTTTAAGCGTCATTCTGGTGCAGAGTACAAAGCGTGTCGTAATCAAGAATCTCTTAATCCCCGTCGGACTTATTTTAAAAAATACAGAAAGATAAATACTCGGTAAATACATGTACATGTGTACAGATGCCACAGATAACTTAACGAGAGCAAGCTGAGCTTCACTGAACCATATATAAATATGATGTAATAAAAAATAACTTATATGCTACGAATGCCTTCTCGTCAAAACATTTCGAGGTCATTAAAAAAATATCTGTTATATGACATAGTCAATCTTCTTTTTCTCTTTCCCCCCCCCCTTTTTTTGTCTTTTCTCCTTTTATGAACTATATTTTATAAATCCGTCTCATTATGAACGATATTTGATGCAGGATTCAAAAACGTATTTCACACTATCCATATAGCTACGCTACATCGGTCACTAAGTAGAAGAACGGAACACGGCGGATAATCGACCATACGCGTAGTGTTCGTCCACAGCATAAAGGAATTCTTATCAGAGATATATGAATATCCTATACAAATCGTATTCTCGTATTCTCAGTGAGTCTTTCGGTAAGCGCTTACATACAAATCCTGCGTATAAAAAAGTCTCAAAATAATAAGATTTGAAACGCGTTTGTTCAATACTCGATCTAATATTTTGATCTTTAGCGTCATTTTCCTTACAAGTATAACACTGTTACAACGCAAGCACTTATAAGTACGGAATTAATATTTTCGATATTAATTCACGCTGGATGGCGGATGGAGTACTTGCGCAATGCAATTTTACCCAAAAACAAACATTAAAAAGGCAATCTATTTTCAAGGTTTTCCTCAAAAAAGATATTTTCTCAAAAATTCTTTTCAAAAAATTTTCTTAAATGTTTTTATCGCAAGATAAGGTTTTTTTACATACGTTTTATTTAACATGTACATCTCAAGAAAAAATTAATCATAGTTTGAAATATAAATGAATAATTCTCATTCTCATCTGATTCTTGAAATACATTAAAAATCAATAAGAAGACAAAAATTTTTGTAATATTAAGAAAAATTTTAGATAAAAATAAAAAATTTCGTGTTTGTCTATCATTTTGAACATTTCAAATTTTAGAAACTGAACCCAAACGGTTCTCATACAATTTTATTTTTCTAAAGATTATAAATAACGAGCATACGAGGATGTAATATATATAATTTTTCAGTTATGAAAAAACTGAATAGTCGAAATGCACTAATAAAATGAATATTTTTTTAATATAATTTCGAATAAATTATATTTATTACACTATACCATCATATTTGGCTTTTACATTTTTCATATTGCTTTGCAAAAATCAAGCCTGATTTTTATCATTAATTATTAATTTTTAATAAAACAAGAAAGTATTGTATAAATTATGAATTTATTTTACTTCCTTTTTCTTGGCTTTTTATTATGCAACACAGAATAGAATTTTCAAGAAAAATCCGGGAAAACTTCAAAATAGATTACTTATTTAAAGTTAGTGCTATACTATGTGCGATTCGTGATTTACAATTTCCGACTTTCAGTAAATGCAATAGAAATTCATGTTACGAAAAAATATCCTGAAGAATAAAGAAAAAAAATTAGGATACTTTCCACATAATCGAATGAATTAAGGATGTTAGAAAATATCGTAGGTATTAAAGAAATCGAAGATATTAATATAAATATCATACTATAAAAGTTACTTTTTTCTTTTTCCATTGGAATTTTTCGAAAGATATATTGAATATATTGTTCGAGAATTGAATATATTTTTCGAGAATATATTGTCAAATTCCGCATCAAATTTCTTTGGTTCTTTCGTTACAACAAAAAAAAACTTTCCATATTAAAAAAAAAAAAAAAAATGTACCAAATGGTAGAATCGAGAAACAAATTAGTCGTTTATTTGCTTTGTTTTGATAAACGATCATTTTGAACTAATCTATCTACAAAGCCCTATGTTAAGCCCTTTAGTTGTGATTTAGTGCATTTCTATATATCAATAATCGCGCCCTTTGATTTCATTGGACCATCACTTTGCTGAGGTTCCAGAACTCAATCTTGATTACGAAAACTCTACAATTTATGTCACGCGTATTATAGATTTTCAATAATCAAGTTGTATTTTGGAACATACTCCTGACGGCACGAATTCGATAAATCTATTTACAGGCAATAATGACAAATCACGTATCGCACATAATCGGCCATTAATTTTTCGACAAGTTATTATAATATAATACACTAAGTATATAATCGTAGTTTAATATATCTCTAAGATAATATATCTTTGTACTTAAAGAAAAAGCTGGGTATTTCGGCAGTCTTCCTAAGGACACTGAATCCAACGTAAACACGATGTAAGACAATCGCCTGCAAGTTTCATAACTTAATGCTGTGTCCGAACTGTTACATATGGTATCTTGTTTCTTTTTCATATATACAGGGTGCGGAGCTGTCCAAAACATAAATTATATCTGCAGAATGGGTATCACGTCGGTATAAATGCACAAATACATATACTGTAAATATGGTAGTCTTATAAGTTGGCGTACAAACGCGACGCTACGAGTGCGAATGAGTTAATGAAGTGTAAACTGAAAATAAAAAGGAAAAAAAACAAAAAATAAAAAGGAAATTATAAAATACAAACTCAGTGTAAAGAAGATAAAAATATAAAAACCGACCGGTTTGGAACAGCTCTAGGATGCGGCGATAAAAAATCCCACTCAAAAATTTCATAATTTAAAAAAAAAACTCACTATTTCTTTGTACAGCACTACGGTAGGCTGGAATTCAGGCTCTCCGGTAAACGATAATTCATCATATGATACGGCGGACTGGCCGGACTACCCGGTTGACTGTTCATGCCGAGATTGCTGGAGCCGCGTCCACGTTTTCGCCTCTGTAGAATGCCCTTTCTGACCATGTAGAATCGAATTGTGCTGATCGGTATCTTGTACTTTTCCGAGGCTACTTGAAATGTCATGCCACGTGCCACCATGTCCGAAGCTTGCTTGAGTTCCTCTTCCGAGCGTCTTTGTCGTCTTTGATAACCTAAATGACGCCAATATAATTAAATTGCATAAAGATGATGGACGGAAAAGTAGATACACAAACTCACCTTCGATTGCGGGAAATGGGCTGCTAGGATTACAATTACTACTGGGTACCATACTAATGGAATATGGTTTCTCCTGTTGTTGAGAAAATTGTTCATCGGGCTCCATTTTTACCATACCCGTGGTCTCGGTAAGAGTCGCCTCGCAAGCGCTTAAAGCTTTTTCTAAATGTTGTAGCGCTTCACTATGTTCCATATTTACGAAGTTGGAGGAGTTAGGATTCTGTGAGACGGGAGTGATGGTGGACGAATTGTTTCCTGTATTCGTCATCGGCGTACATGACAGGAAATCAGAGGTGCTTCCATCGTTAGATGAAGTTTCTGCTTTATTGTAATTGTTACTGTCACCATGAGTAGGAGTCGACGGAGTAACAGGTGCATTAGAATCACACGATTGTGTGTTCATCTCACTCACTGAGTTATCGCATCCCTGAGTGGATAAGCCACGGACCTATCAAAGAATATGTAACATATTGTCAAATATCTGAACATATGAAATTATTACAACTCTCGTACTATATACGAGTAAAATATTGCTATTATATCACTATAATGTTATAATTATATGCCTTTTGTAGCTTCTACTAAGATTAAAGAAAACAAAATACCAAAGAAATAAAAATGAACAGAAACTGAAAATATATTAAATATGTAAAATAATCAAAAGGCTATACCTGTAAAACTTCTGCTGCTTGCATCAATGTAGCGAGTTGCTGTTGCTCGACATATACCTCTCCACGATACATAAACTCGACCAGTGCTTGAAGCTCCCACATTTTCATGTCTCTCAGAAAGATGACAGGATGAGTACATGGTATCTCCAATAGCAGGCGCTCCAAATAATCACTACAGGCGGATAATACAACTTTGTGACATTTTATCGAGCCTCCGTCACATGCCAGAGTAACATCGACAAATTGCTCTGAGCTAAGCAATTTTGGAAATGCACTGTGCATATTCGACTGATGAGAATTCCAAGAGACGCAAAATTGTTGGCGATCTCCTCCGGGATAATTGCACGGGTTAGATATATTACTTCCAGATTCCATGGTTGAAGCTCAACGAAGAACAAACTGCCTGTTAAAAGAAGAAAAAACAGGATAATTCATTGAAATTTGGATCAATATCCGCTTAGTTGTCGCGAAAAGACCGCATTTCGTTCCGAGCATGGTTACTTGGTTATAAAAAAAAATTATGAAAAATATACGTTGTAAGAAAAAAAACTCATAGAAAAATCTTGCCTTTTAAATGTTTCTCAATGTTCCGTACGTCACTTAATAATTGAACAAAGCGCACCGATGAAAAAATAAAAAAACCGCAAGATAAAAGTATAAAAATCGTCTCTTCAACAAAGACACCACTGCTAACATAAAACCGACTCGAAGGAAGCCAACGGGATAACTCTTGTCCGCGAGTTATTCTTGGACGCCGTAATTAACGAGAGAAATGACGAAGTTTTCGTTTCTGCTCCGTATTTCCTCGAGTCGAATCCCATTCTCGTCCGGATTCTCCTGGCGGAAACGCGGCGAAGCGGCTCTTTCGGCTCGGCCGCGAGAAGCGACGCGTTATCTCCGGCGTGAAAAACGGCGTCCGAAAATCCGCGTGTGCAGAACGGGGGAACGTCATCGGAACAAAGACAAAGACAAGAGGGGGGGATCTCGCGGGAGCAAGAGGCCGATTCCGACTCCTCCCCCCCCGAAAAGGGATCGTCCTTGTCACCCCGAGGACGCGTACCTCGCTGGAGTAACGTGATCGTCGCACGAACAAAAGATATCACTGCGGCTCCCGGGCTAGGTTAACGAGAAACGTGATGGTTACTTAATAAAAAAAAAAAAAAAAAAAATTATAACATGGCTGTCTGGCATAGGTCTGGCGTATAACAATATCCGCGTGCATATAGATATAAAAGACACACATACACATGCACCAAGTACGTGTTAGCGAGCCACATACATATAAGTCATACGCCATACACTCCTCTCTAATGGTACACGACTTACGGACACGAAACACTATTACTCCGGATTGCATATGAAATATATTCAAGGGCCGATTCGAATGTTACCGCGATCGAGCGCGGCGTCCATCGAATCGATCGGCAATCGAGGGCGAGGACGACGGGCGCTGTCGGCAGAAAAATTAGCAATCGGTTAGACGGACGGAAGGACGGACGCTACCGGCCGAAAAAAATCAGCCGACAGCGTGCGACGCGATGTGCGAGTGCGACAAACTCTCACCAGCCGGATGCACGCACTCATAGGCAGCAGACGGGCATGCGAGCACGCACTCGTTCACTCACTCACTCGTACTTATATACATACATGTGCGTGTGCGTGTGTATGTGTGTGTGTGTGTGTGTGTGCGCGCGCGTGTGATGCGTGTACACATAGACCCGATGGAAAAGAAGGAACGCGTCTTTGCCGCCGCCGACTCCAACGATGATGACGCTAGCGACGACGATGCCATGCTTATTGGTGTACGAATCACGTGTCGCGAATTAATTCTCCGAAAACCTACGAATCGAAATGTGCCGTCGTTGACATCCGCCTTCTTCTTGGCCTTAGCGCGGTCCCAGGTCGGACCACACGGCCGAGCAACAGAGACGCGGGTGAAGAGGAAGAAATTGACGTGTCCCGTGTCTGCGAAAGCCGGCTTGATAATCCGCCTGGCGTTACCGTCTCGGCGCGGGGGGGGGAGGAGAGGAACAAAAAACCCCGGCGAGGGGAAATCTCTGCGGGAGAGACGATGCACGATGCACCCCCTTCGCGCACAGAGAGACACAGACAGACGGGACCCCGTCTCGGGATCGCCGGACAAAATTTCACTACACGGTTCACCCGTGTGCGTGCACTCGCCGTGTACGTGAACGCGCGCCCGTGCCTGCGTGCGCGTACGCGCCCGCGCGTACATTCGCTTCTTTCATCTCTCCTCACGCGGTCCTCTCCCACGGGGACGCGCCGCGAGCGTCATGCCGTATCGCGCATCGCCTCGGGGGGAAAGCTTCGGCGCAGAAACACCACGCGACGAACGCTCGCCTCTAACTACGAAAATTAGTTCGCACTCACTCGGCTTCTCTCCCCCGATCGGTTTCCTCCGTCAACTCCAGTTTTAGACTATTCCGTCGTTTTAGCAGAAAGAATTCCTTAGGAAAACATTCGCCGAGATTTACCACTGAGGTGAGGGAAGCCGACGCCGGAAGGGGTAGAGGAGGCAGGGGAGACTCGCCGAGAACACCGAGACAGGGGAGGCAGAATGGTGAAGACCGTCGGAAAAGGCGAGAATATGTCCGCGTTAGTCGTTCTTTCTCTCTCTCTCTCTCTCTCCTCCCCCCTCC